AGTATATATATACTGTAACAAAATAAAATAACAATAACAATAATAATATTATTATAATAATAATAATATAATGATAAAAATAATTTTAAAAATATATTGTAACAAAATTTTGTAATGCATTTATTTATAAGACAATATATGAATATCTATATATATATATATATATATAATAAGAAACGAAGTTATGATTATCAAAAGTCATGAGAGTTATGAAATAAAAATAATTTAATTTTTATATTGAAGTATATAAATAAACATAAATAAATGAAGGAGTAATAATTGACACAATCATTTTTGTATAAAAATAATAAGAAATAAAGTAGAATATGAAAGAAAATGACTTCTATTTTGAGAGAAAACTTTGGAAAAAAAAGTTATAAATAAGAAAGGCGCATAATTAACGTGTTAGGAAAAAGAAAAAAAAAACTAAAATGAAAAAGAAACTAGATTGTATTATTTATTTCCTTTTTTAGTTTATTTCATGTTTTATAATATAAAACTCAAATAAAAGAAACCTAGGGTTAGATGCAAATTTATCAATACTATGTGTTAGTATACATTAAAAATATTAGTAAACACTTAAAGACTAAAATTTGTAGACATTATACTTCACAAATTTATCAATACTATGTGTTAGTATACATTAAAAATATTAGTAAACACTTAAAGACTAAAATTTGTAGACATTATACTTCACAAATTTATCAATATTATGTGTTAGTATACATTAAAAATATTAGTAAACACTTAAAGACTAAAATTTGTAGACATTATACTTCACAACTTTATCAACTATGTGTTGGTATATCATATAACAAAGAAATTATAAATAAAAATACTTTTATTTGTGATTCTTAGATAATTTGATGAATGAATTCATTTTGATATCGTATGAATTTTATTTGGTAAACTCATTGATTTTTGTAATTTGTATAAAATTGATTTGTGGAGGAGTGACGATGTAGTACCTTCTATAGGCAAAAGAAAAATGATTATTCTATTTTATTGATAATTTTATCTTCAATTCGTTCTTTTCACTTTTTTCGTTTTTTTAAAAAAAAATTGTAACTTACATTTTTTTTTTAATTTGACACCATCTTTTATATAATTTATATTTGTCAATTACTCAAATATATATTGTTTAAAAGTAATTTTATTTTCATAAAAAGATGGTATAATAAATTTAAATAACTTTATATGACCGCGCGAAGCTCAGCCAAATTCACTAGTTGTAATCATATATTTAAATTATGTTTTCAATAGTAGTTTATTTTGTCTTTATGTTAGTTTTGAATTATACACTTGTAATTCTATTAAAAAATTCTTATATTTAATTAAATATTGCTTAACTTGATTATTTGTTTTGGTAATTTAAATCAGATTTTTTAAAAAAATAAATTACTATTCAAATCTTGGACGCCCTTCATGAAATTCCTGGCTACACCACTGCACATGACATACCACCTCAGCGTCCCAAACTAAAGTGACATTCCATATGATGTATTCTTCATCAAAATATGTACCACGTAGAAATGAGATGTTCAACTTGAACGATCCAAACATGAATGATTTTGAACCAATAGTATAACAAAATGATAAATCAATCTTTCACGTATAACAAAAGAGCAAATTTGACCATTGTTTTCCTATTCTAATAAAAAAAAATCTAAAATAACTTTATTTTTTAAATTTCATACTTAAACTATTAGATCTATAAATTTCATACGTGAACTATCGATTATTCAGAAATATCATTATCGCTCGATAATACAAATACTATTAAAGGTTGGATGCTGTAGTAGGTAGGAATATAAGTCCATTGTTGGACTTGGACCACCATTACAAAAAGAGAGGCCACATATCTAATCTTCTACGATTCACAAGTGGAAGGTTTGAACTTTGAACTCTGTATTGTCATTGTTGAATTTTATTTCTACCAAACATTGATATCAACCTAATAATATGTAGTATCTTTATATACATTGTCATATTATAATTAAATTATAAATTATAACTAATAATATATGAATTCACTTTAATTTATTATTTAGCCATGATCAATTCATATTCTTCTTTAATATAAATATCAAATGTAGATAATTTTTCACCTTTTAGATATGCAAATTCTTGATCGATCAATATTTCACTTCATATAACATGTTAAGAGTTATTTGATAGCTGGATAAGAGAATAAATTATTCATATATTAATTTTCGTGTAACTCATATGATGTTTGGTAGATATTTTTGTATAGATAAGTTTTCACTTTTTAGTCATGCAAGTCGTTCTTGATCGGTCAATACTTCACTCCATATTAGTTAGCATTCATTTGATAACCGAATAAGAACCAAGTTTTTCATGTATTAATTTTCATATAATTTATATGATGTTTGGTAGGTAGATAAGAATAAGTTATTCATGTATAAAATTAATAAGACGTTTGATTGACAATTTAGAAATGCGCAGAACTAATACATGAACAAGTTATGAGGAATTCTATGTAGGATAAAAGGTTAACTAACTAATACATGTATAACTAATACACGAATAACTAATTCATGAATAACTAAACCCTGCATAACACTAATCAGCTATCAAATGACCCATTAGTGTAACAATCACTTTATAAAACTTATCTTCAAGGAGAAACATTCTTATCACATAAAATACTAGATACGAGCTTCCATTACATTCGTCCCATTCCAATCCAATACGTAACATTATCGTTAATCTCTCAACTTTTTAAAATTATTAACGCAAGATACTTAAAACTAACTATTGAGATACTTGTATATCAATACGCATTTTTAACTCTGCCTCGTCACCAAATTTTAACATCCAAACAAGACCTTAAATAGAAGTCTGCGAAAGCCTGTGGACTCACAACTTTGAAGCCACGTTTACTTCTTCTTTTTTTGTTTGCGAAAAATACTCAAAAATGTTTGCGCATTGCACAAAGTCATCGCTGCCGGCGGCGGACGCCCACCTACCAACGCCGCGGTTCCCAAATCCACGGCGGAGTCCGGCGGCGGAACTTCATTTCGGCTTCAATAGTTTTTCTACTAGAACATCGAAACTGCAAGTCAAAGCTTTGGACCGGAACAGTAACAACAGTAGCACCGGTGACGGCGTCGGCGCTAGTAAGAACGCCGCTTCATCGCCGTCATCATCGGTTCCGAACACGAACTACGTGGTGCCACTAGACAAGGCTTCGTCTTGCATTACTCGTCCCTTGGCCGAGATCCTACGTGACCTGAACAAGAGAATTCCTGATAACATCATCAAAGCTGATAACAATGATGATCACTCCACCTTTATCACCTGGTAATTTCATTTCTCTTTTTTTAGTTTTATAATTTTTGATTTTTGCAGGCACAATTTTAAAATATGTTTTAGTTTAAGAAATTGTTGTTTACAGGATGTTATATAATTTATATACTTCTCTGAATATGTAAAAAATAATAGAATTCACATGAATTCTATCAGTCTGAAGGAGTATTTAGTTAAGATCAGCTGCCGAGATTTCTGTTGTTGATCTGATACTGAAGACATTGTTAACTGTTTAGGTACCATGCTAACCGGATGTTGAGCTTCTACGCTCCAGGTGCGGTAGCATTTTTGTTTAATTCTTCTATCATTATGTTGTTGTTGTTGTTGTATACTGCTTATGACTGTGTTCTATTAATTGTATCATCAGTAGTGAAATAGGATTGAAAAAGTGTGTAATTTGGTCATGTAGATGAGATTGCATTATTTTCTTTTGTCAGAACTAATGGAAACATTTTAACATGAAATTTGGTGGAAATGCCCCAATGTTTAATTGTCTGTGATTTGCTAATAAATAGTTTCTTTTGTAAAGGAATTGAGTTATTCTGAGGATGGTGGTCAAGGACCATCACTAGAAGTAGGAATCCCTTGAGCCTAGAACAGAGAACATGTCTTAGATGATGTTCCTGTGCATATGTTCATGGTGACTCTTCTTCTGGATTGGCAGTATTTAAAACTTGAATCGGCACATTTGAAGAAATGCACTTCTCAACCATAGAGACCTCTTCTTTTCTTGTCTTCTTTTATGTTGAAAGATTGTGTCTAGGATTTTCTGTTACTTAACTTCCTCCATCATAAGTTATTGTTTTTCAGTATCCTCCATAAAATGAAAATTTTAAAATAAAGCATAACTAATTCATTTTATATCTTCAAACCTGCAATAGGGCATAGCTTCCAAAGCTTTGACATTTTTATCTGTTCTACTCAATGAACTTCCTCACAGTCAGTTTTCAAGGTTCCTTCTACAGTTCCGTATTCCTTTCTCACAGCGTGGAATGATCCCTTCCATTTTCCCAAGCCCTAGGCATAATTAAGGGTTGGGGGCTTGAATGTTCTAACCCTTGAACTTCCTCCTTCAATTCCATGAGAGTTTCTTCCTCTGAAAAGCTGGTTTTGTCAAGAGTTCTGTTAACTGTTGATTGTATGCCATAGGAAATGTCTTTGTTTGGATTACTACATCAAAAACAAAGAAGGAGATGTCTCTGTTTGGGGTACCCTAAAGCTTAAGCCACAAGTTCTAATTAACTGATAAAGAAAACACAGGTTTTAATTAACAAAATATCTCAAAGATCATATTGTTATGTCTTGGTTTGCACTTCTGATAATGGTGCAATCCTCATTCTTTTTATTAGTTTAAGTTTCTGCAATTTTCTTCAGTCAAAACAATTTTGGATAACTGAACCTATCTCGTATCTTCTGATCTTTAATGCTTTTCACAATTTTGATACAGAAATGTGGCGATCTGGATTTCACTTTTAAAATCTAATATTGTGATCAAGCTACTTATATCTCTGGGGAACATGAGCTTGGACTTTGGAAAGATAGTAGATATATGATCCATTCATCTTTAATGCTAGTTTTGACTGTAGCTAAATTAGCATCTAGACAAATTTCACCCTTGATATTGTTTAGTTTGCTGTCTAGATGAGTTGGGAAATATGGGATAACCAATGGACAGCAAGCAGTCTTGAAATTCTTACCCACCAATTTTTTCATTGGGATCACCTAAAGTTGTCGGGCATATTTTATTCCTCAGCAGTACTCCCAGCAAAAAAACATTTGTTTCCTATGTGGCCAAGGCAGATGAACCAATGATATTTCAGAAATTTTCAGTGATTCTTGTTTCCTTTGTTCTTCTTCTCCTTCCATTCTATTATTTCCTTTAACCTTCTCATGTCTGCTTGCTCCTCACTGTTTTGCATTTCTCACATTCTGCTCTGCCCCTAGACATCCTCAAAATACATCTATTTTTTTGATAACCGTGCTGTCTGGGCCAACTTGTTCGCACCTCGACTAATTCTGATAACTGCTACCATACCAATAACAGGTACCAGGTAACTTTGTCCACCATGGCTAGTACACATGGGAAGAACTCATGTGCTGCCTAAGTTCTACCTAAAAGAAAATATGTGGTTAGCTGATGTCCATATGTTTGTTTTTGGTGCTAAAGTTTGTAGATCCTGCAGAATTTCCATTTATGAATTCGTTTTTCTTCTTCCAATTGGAAATGACATGCTTCTTCTATCTGATCGGCCCTATAAATCTACCTTCAATTTTTTTGCTGCAACATTTTTGCTCTAGTTCTCTTAATGTTTTCACTTCATTGTGCTGATGCTTAATCCCTTGCCCTTGTAACTTCTATGAGGCATTTCCATTTTTGGTTTAATAATGTGTTGCAAGCTTCAGCATAATGGTTGATTTGTTTTGTACTTAGCTATTATTGTTTCTGACTTTTTCTGGAAATGACTAGAAAAATATGTGCAAATGACCTTATTGTGGCATATCGGACGACTGTTGTATACACTGGGAATTAATTTTGATGTTCTGAGCGTATGTGATGATTGAATTTCTTTTGACAGGCTGGTGTGGGGAAGTACGAGATGTCATTTTCTCAGATAATGGAAGTGTGACAGTTGTTTATCGTGTCACTATACGCGGATCAGATGGAGAGGTATGATCATTCCTCCGAATAAGTGCCTCATCTTTTTTTTTCTATCTTTTCCCCCCTTCCTCTTCCCCCTTTACCATTTCAGAATATGCTTCTATGTTTGATCATAATCAGCAAGGGCCAAGGAGACTTGATCAAGAATTGGCTATAAGTCTTTCTTTTTTGGAAGTAAATCATTGTGCAGCCAATATGGCTTGTTTGTTTTTGTTGTTCCAACATGAAATGCCCATTCTTTATTTTCCTTTATTGCAATTCATTTTAATTGCCAAATGATGAAGTGGTAGCATTTTTGGGCTTTAGAAGATTGAAAACGTAAGTCCGCTAAAAAACTGAAGTACAAAGTTGTTCCTGTGAGGATTTATGAAACTAGCTAGTATATGATTAAACAAAGGTAGTTAAGATGTATTCGATCTAGCTCAAAGCTTAAATAAAAATGAAAAAAGTATTAGGCGATTAACAAATAAATAAATATGTCATAGAAGCCCTTAAAATGCCTCAAAGACTTAGCAGATCTTGAGCTTGAAGTATTGAATTTGTCAATGTAAGGTGGAGGCCAACCTATCATCTGCCATGTAAGATAGCCTTGTTAGATTTTTTAATGTCTAATAAATATGGCAGCTAGTTTTCCTCTTACTATGATTATTTATATTTATGTTTGCGGGAGCTTTACTATACGCTGTAGATTTGTTGATTAAATTCAGGTCAACAACTCCATACACTGCATATACATGGTTTATGTTGTGTTGCCAGTCTGTGAAGATTTAGACTTGCATGTATTTAAGTTGTGATAAAACCCTACTCCACTTTTTCTCTTCTACATCCAAAATTTGGGTCATCTTTTGATTGTGAACACAAACCAGTAATCTTCCCAGACATTAGTTGAGATGCGCTCAAGTTGATCTAGATACCACCATCATCAAAATAATAATAATCCTCTCTGAAATGAAGAATACTGCTGTAGCCAAAGTCTAAAGTTTCATTTCACACTTCTGATGTGAGGCTATTAGAACTTATTGAAAAGAAAATTAATAGTTGGTCCAAATATTTGAAGGTTGTGTCTTCTTAACTGCAGCAAAACGATTCTTATGTTTGTATTTCTTATTTCTCAGATATGCAGATTTTCTAAAATCCAAGTTTGTAATTCTTTGTAATATTCTAGGAAAAGGTTAAAGCTTATTTCATTCTGTTCCTTACTCTTGATCATCTTTGGCTGGTATTAGCCAGTAGGATTTATAGGATTTCTGTTACCTAGCTGGTTTTGAAGTTTTATCCTGGAATAGGAGTAGGCCTACCACCATAATGCATATGTTTCAGCAAGGTTGCCTTAATTGTTTATTGTGGGAAGTGATACCCTTAGTTGCGTGAACTCTTCACTTTTTGATGCCACACCCGTCTCGGATTCTCCAAAAATACACTACTTTTGGCAAATCCAACATGCAACCCGTTGGCATTTTTGAAGAGTTCGAGCAACATAAGTGATACCTTTCACGTTTGATAAAGTGGGCTTGCATGGACAGGCTTAGTGATTTGCTAATGGATGGTTGACTGGCCGGTTTCTGTGGCTAGTCTTCGTCTTATTCAGCATTGATAAATAGACAGCTTATCTACCTGGGTCATTGCAAGAACTTCGGTATATTAGGCAAAGGCCTTCATTTGAGTATGTTGATAGACCCATCTTCTTCAAAATTGGAGCATAGGGCTTTGGTCTTGGGGTTAGAGCGTGATGTATGAGTTAAGTGTACACCATGGGGTCAAATCCTACTGTAGACAAAAGCTTTTTATTTAAGTAGAGAGGTAGAGCTCCATTATCCACCAAGTATTGAACGCGTGCCACTTTGTCCTCGGGATTTCTCATTTATAAATAGGAAAACAAGGGGAGGTTTTAGGTGAACACGTTGATTTCACATCTATTTTTGGTAGCTAATGTCGTTGTTGTGCTTGAGTGTGTTCTATTTTGGCGTATGTAAGAGCATATGTGGCCGAAGGCAAAAGGGGGACAGGAGTGGAACGAGCAAGTGGAAGAGGTTCTAGTCTTGAGCATGACAAGATTGAATGATTAGATTAAAAGTTCCGCATGAAAAGGCAGACTAAAGAAATTGTTCACTATTCTATTTTAAGGACCATATGTCTCTATTATATTGGTCTTAGCTTACATGTAGGTTGCGGGCCCTGTGTCCTTTCTACTTTAGGTAAGACGGTGACGCATACACTCCCAACCATCACTAAAGGTGACCTTTATTTGGCTCAAGTATCATGTGATATTGATGTTGTAAAACTACCAAGATGGAGAAATCTATCGATAAATAATTGATCTTGCTAAGTTTTTGAAAAAACACGCAATTTTGTTCTTGTTTGTGTGCTCTCAGTTTAGCTCCTAAAAAACTTCCAAGTTCCGATAAACACTTGTCCTGTTGAATTTATGTTGGAGTCATAGTCACTGTGGTTCTTTTTTTTGACGTGTGTACTTATATTCTTGTGATACATTATTCTAGGCACACCGCGAATCAACTGGAACAGTATCACCAGGAAATGGCCAGTACACAGATCTGGTTGCTGCTGCTGAGGAGATGGCATTTTGCAGAGCATGTGCTCGTTTTGGGCTTGGCTTATATCTGTATCATTAATAAGAATAGTCGTGTAGACGCTACAAACTGGACAGTTTTGAAAATGCTGTTGAAGGTCCTTGTACACCACAGAGCAAGAAACATGATGAAATATTTATTACGCGGGATGATGTAAAAATATTATTCATGAGGATTGTTAGTTATGCACTAAGAAAGTACTAAAATTATGGTCATGGTCATGGAGAATGAGGCCTCAAAATATGAAAAATAGGAAAAGATATCAGATATCTTCTATTGCATTATGTATAACTTATTCTCCCTGTTGTTCTACAGAACTGTATCGTATGTATTTGTTAGATTGTAATGCCTCAGTAATTGATACTATTTATATTATTTTTGTAGAAATAACGTCCACTGATCACTTTTCAATTGAAATTTCATAACAGTGACCGAGCCGACAAGTGGTGTTCGTGAATTTTACTCCAAACTCCAAAGTGAATCGATGACAAAATACTCTTCCTACAATAATTGGGGTAAGTGCAAGTATTCGATTTTAGGTAGGGATGGGTAAATAAGCACAAACTCGCAAAGATTTCTGCTCCACCCAACATAGAAATATTTTTTTCATTTTAATTGAACTTTTCAATTATTATTTGGTATAGTTAATATAATAATAAATGCTATGCTAAGAATTGATATACAAAATAGTTCGTAACTGTACATGATTTCATTTATATATAATACTTTTATTACACCGTATTTAGTTTTAATCTTCTTTAACTTTTTTAACTACTTTGCAGTATATATTTTTTCTAATTAAATCGATTTCAATTTCGAATTATGTTTATGAGTTTCATTATTCGTGTTCTAGTTTGCTATATCGATGAAATTTTTAAATAAATTTGAATTTAAATCCATTCTTACTTATTGGTTCACAAATTCTGATTTAATTTCAAAAAAAATGGGACTTTTAATAATGGATAAAAAGTTTAACCAACATTATTAAAGGTATTCGTACTTTTAATATAGTATTATACATAGATTAATCTAGTTGACTCAAATAGGAATATTGTAATTACACCTTTATTTATTATTCCCTTTGTCCCATTTTACTTGGTAAAGTTTAACTTGGCACACTTATTAAAAAATGGAAAAGGGTCAAAACTACCTTTAAACTATACGAAATAGCTCAAATATACCTTAAAACTATATTTCGGCTCAAAAATACCCTTCCCGTCAAACTATTGGGTCACACCTACCCTTCCAGTTAACAGAAGTATCCCTGTGTGTGTTAAATGCCACATGGACGCCGCATGGATGCCACATGTGCATGCCAAACAGACCCCACCTCCACATAGACGACTATGGAAAAGGGTCAAAACTATCCTTAAACTATTCGAAATAGCTTAAATATACCCTTAAACTATATTTCGGCTCAAAAATGCCCTTCCCGTTTAACTATTAGACCACACTTGCCCTTATGTTTAACAAAAACATCCATGTGTGTGCTAAAATGCCACATGAACTCCACATGTGCACGCCAAACACACCCCACCTCCACATAGATGACTTAAAGCCTTAATATCACTCTTTTCCCCTCATTTCATCCTGAAAATGTATATATTGAACCAAAAAAAGAAAAAACATTTGCGGAAACTTGTATACATAACCGAATGAAGTAGAGAAATTGCAATTTGATGACCATTTCAAATACAATAAAAGAAACGATCTAAGGTATAATATAAACACACTCATTTTAATTAATCAATTAACACTAATTTATTATTTTAATTTCTCTTAATAAATTAATTTTGTTTAAACAAATCTTAGCAAGCTTTCTTGTTGATTCAACTCACGGCCATGACGCAAAATAACCGCTGTCGTAAGAGACCTAATATACTTATCACCGGAACTCCAGGCACAGGGAAGATGACTACGACGGCTTCCCTGGTGGTGGAAATCGAGCTCCGTCACATCAACGTCGACGATTTCGCTAATGAGGAAAAATTGACAAACGGCTGGGATGACACCTTCGATTGCTACTACATCAACAAAGACCTAGTAAGTCTTTATAGATTTCTAATTTTTTTTTTACCAATTACCCTATTTTTGTTCAAGTTTTGAGCTTTTGTGGTCCCTAATCCAAACATGCTCTAAATGATTGTTAAGGAAGTTTTAGATCTTATGGAAAGTTAAAGAAACATTCAATATAATACTCCCTCCGTCCCATTTTATGTGGCACCATTTTCTTTTTGGTCCGTCTCAAAAAGAATGTCACATTTCCTTATATGGTAAGTATTTAAAGGTACAATTCCTTTTTTATCCTTATTGGTCCCACTTAATCTTAAAATAATACTCCAATACATTTATGAAGAGAGAGAAAAATGGGTTTACTTTTTAAAGGAGAATTTGGTAAACATTTCAAAGTCTTCATTTATTTCTTAAACTCCGTGCCGGATCAAATGTTGCCACATAAAATGGGACAGAGGGAGTAGATGATTTAAGCATTAGATAGCAGAATTAATTTGAATTTCGTTTAAGTTGTAATCTTCAAAGTACAACATATTTGTATCGGAATAAAATGGAACTGAATTGAGTCAATGTATATTGTATATTGATATAGATATAGATATACCCAAATAAGGAAAGGATGAAATGAAGGAAAAAAGAGTGAAATTAGGGCTTTAAGTCGTCTATGTGGAGGTGAGGTGTGTTTGGCGTGCACGTGTGGAATCCCTGTGGCATTTTAGCACACACGTGGATGTTTTTGTTAAACAGAAGAGCAAGTGTGGTCCAATAGTTAGACGGGAAGGACATTTTTTAGCCGAAATATAGTTTAAGGGTATATTTAAGCTATTTCGAATAGTTTAAGGGTAGTTTTGACCCTTTCCCGTAGTTGTCTATGTGGAGTTAGGGTCTGTTTGGCGTGCACATGTGGCATTTAACACACACATGGATACTTCCATTAACTAGAATGGTAGGTGTGGCCCAATACTTTGACGGAAAGGGTATTTTTGAGCTGAAATATAGTTTAAGGGTATATTTAAACTATTTCAGATAGTTTATGGGTAGTTTTGACCCTTTTCCATTATATTTAAGAAGAACATTCATAAAATCTAACAGGATGAGTAACGAGTCATGTTTTCGATGCTAATTTGTTTCTAGAAATTCATAGATTTAATTTTCTTTTTAAAATTAACCAACAGAATCTTCAATATAGCATCTTCTTATACAATTGTCACTTTCGAACTTCATTTTGAATTATCACTGTCATATACTTTTTTCATCTTCTTATGGAGGGAAACTTAAAAAAATAGAGCAAGATAACAATGACGATATATTTTCTTTAAAAATGATATATAAAATTTAATGGAAAGATAAAATCGGAAAAAAGTTGCTCCATAACCCAATATGAAATTGCGGATTAAAAATTTAAACGGAGAAGGGCCTAAAATGCCCCTCAAGTATTTGAATTGGTACAAAATTACCCTCCATCCACCTATCGGCCCTAAAATACCCCTGACGTCCACCTTTCGGCTAAAAATACCCTTATGTCTAACGGGTCATACTCATTAGGTGGATGCAGGGTAATATTGTACCAAATAGGGCATTTTAGGCCCTTTTCCGTTAAAATAATTTGAAATTACTTAATATATAAGCTCACACAATTGACTTGATTTTGAGTTTCATAGTAAATTTACAATTATAAAAAGGTTAGGCATCTACTCTCTACACAACTCCCTCCCCGACCCTTCACTTCCTATCTCTTTCATTTTTTTTTCTAAGTGGATCTTGTCCTCCATTTTATTTATTTTTTTAATTTATGTCGAACAAGAGAGAAAAAAAGAAGGAAAATAACGATGCATTCATATAGAAATAATTAGTTCAATAAAAGATGACTTAATTAAGCAAAATATGTACAAATATTACATTTTTCTTTTGTGTGTACCCAAAATTAAAAATAAAAGAATAAAATTAATCATTTCTCTTATCCACATCATCATCCTATTATGACAATAATACTAATTAAAAGAATATAAATATGTGAGTTCATTTCAAGTTTGGGCACCATATATCCTAATTAAGAATAAGAGTTTACAAAAAGGAATAAAAAAGAAAATGAACAAGACATTTGGATAATTGAGAGAAAATTTTATATTAATGAAAATAATATTTTTTTTAGATGGACAATTCGGGGTAAGTATGTATTTTAGTTGGATCCTCATTTATGAGTTGAGTTACATTATAATAAATTGGGGTCGATTTAAAATAGGTCAATAGAAAGATATCATGAAATTAATTATTTTTTCAATATTATTTTCAAGTATATTGGGTCAAAATATGAATCATAAGTGGTTTATAGAAAAAATAAAATTTTAAAATATCATTTTTATTATTTATTTGAGAAGAGTTTAAATTTGGACCAATCACATTAAGCAATATAATAAATAAATATTTAATAATTTTACTTTAAAGGAGCTATTAAAAATAAGGGCAAATATGAGTCAAAAGATTAACATCGAGGATATTTTTGAGCAGAAAGGTGGACATCAGGTGTATTTTAGGATCGATAGGTGGATGAAGGGTAATTTTGTATCAATTCAAATACTTGAGGGGCATTTTAGACCTTTCTCTGTATTTTTAAATATTTTGTTTATCAAATAGTTCAAAATACATGTTTTACAATTTTAATGCAATTTGTTGATAATTATCCTTATTTCTCAAAATATTAGAATTTTTATCGGTTAATTATGTTTATATTTTTTTTTTGTCATAATCAGTTGAATGTGTTGTGAATATTTGTTAGGATTGATTAAATAATTATTTTCTATTAAATTGTATTTTTTTACCAGTCATTTATTTTATTTGTTACATTAACTAATATTTATTTTTAGCGCAATCTAAAAATATAAAAATACAATTAAATATAGATAAAATTGCATGGTTTTTCAATTTTCTATTTAAGCAATAGCTTGTCAAGGTCATTAAGCTATGAGTGGTGAATAAGATTTTACAGTAATTTTCGGATTTTTTAATCTAAAAAAATTCTTTAATTGTTCTTCAATTTTTCCGGCAATTCGCCGGAGCTTGGACGGAATCTGACGAGTCCACCACCCAAAAGACCCCAGTTGCTCTAACTTGTTCACTTCCCCAATTTTTCCGGTGAAAAGTCGCCCGAAACCCAACCCGTTCCTCTCTTCATTGCCCCATCTTCTCCGACAAGCCTCCACCACCCAACCCCACTGGTCAACCCTCTCCTCACTGCCGCCAGAAAACCAGCCAACGAAACGACCTCCAAGTCCCAAACCCCCCCTTCCTTTTCCCGTTACCATTTCCGGCAAAACAGCCACCGGAAATCTCCACACTCCTACCATCTTCTTCGACCAAGAAACCAACAACCTCAGCCCCTTGCTTCACTGTTTCAGCCACCAAACGACTCAATCTCCTCCACCTTTCCCACTCCTTTCTCCACCCAGACCAACACCAAAACGACTTCCTCCACCACAAAACCCCAAACCTTCCACCAAACAGCCCCAAACTCGCCTGAAACCGCTACCAGACCCCACTATTCTCTTCCTTGCTCCGGCAAAAACCAGTAACTCCAAAACCCCGACCCAAACTAGCAACAACCAGACCTACTTTGGCAAACAGCAGCTCCCGGAAATGAATCTCCACCTCGCACAGCTCCGACCACTGACCAGGCCGTAACTCCAACAACAGGTTTTTCCTTCGGTAACTTAATCTCTATACTGTTTGTTGCCTTCTTTCTTTTATTTTACTACTAACTAATCGTGAGTATTGATTGAATTCCATTATATTTGTTATTATTTCTAGTTACTGTTCGTCGAAAATTGAATATTCTCTTAAATTTTTATGGATTCACTGTTTTAAGTGTTATTTTATCAATGCCAGAAATAATACATCCTTCAGGTTGAATCATATAAATTTCTTCTTCTAAATCACCATTTAAAAAAGCTGTTTTTACGTCCATTTGATGGATAGAAAGCTTATGAATTGATGCTAAGGCAATTAAAATTTGAATAGAAGAAATTCTAGTCACTGGTGCAAATGTATCAAAATAATCAATAATTTATTTTTGAGAAAAATCTTTTGCTACTAACCGAGCTTTGTATTTATCTATAGATCCATCCGGATTAAGTTTCCTTTTGAAAATCAATTTGCAACCAATAGGTTTTGCACCAGGAGGTAAATTAGTTAAAATCCATGTATTGTTTTTCATAATTGAATCAATTTCAATTTTTATTGCGTCTTTCCAAAATTTAGCATCAGAAGAAGATTAACTTCAAAATAGTTTAATGGTTCAGTGTCAACAAGAAAAGTTTGAAAATCATTTCCATAAGAAAAATATTCTTTCCTAGGCCTTTTACTCCTTCTTAGTTCTTCAATATTAGAAATAGACTCACTATTTCTTTCAGCAGGTACATGAGAAATTTTATCACATAGTGGAAAATTATGTTAAAAGAATTCAACATTTTTGTCTCAATAATAGTATTGCAATCAAGCACATCACTCTTTAAAACAAGAAATCTATATGCAACACTATGTTCAGCATATCCAATAAACATGCAATCAATTGTTTTAGAACCTATTTTCCTCTTCTTAGGTTCAGGCAAGAGAACTTTAGCAAGACACCCTTATACTTTTAAATAATTCACTTTTGGTTTATAACCTTTCCACAATTCATAAGGTGTTTTGCCAGTTCTTTTATGAGGAATTCTATTTTGTAAGTGACATGCAGATAATATAGCTTCACCCCACAAATTATTAGGTGCATTAGAACTTATTAACATAGAGTTCATCATTTCCTTTAATGATCTATTTTTCCTTTCAGCTACTCCATTAGATACGGGAGAGTAAGGTGGAGTTACTTCATGAATAATTTCTTCTTTTTCACAAAGGGCATTTAAGGATAAATATTCTCCACCTCTATCAGGTCTAATTCTCTTGATTTTTCTATTAAGTTGATTTTCAACTTTAGTTTTGTAAGAAATAAAGGCATTAAAAGCATCATCTTTATTTCTAAGTAAATATAACTTAGTAAATCTAGAAAAATCATCAATAAAAGTCACATAGTATCTTTTATCACCTCTAGTCATTGTTTGTTTTAAATCACCTAAATTAGTGTGAATTAAAGACAATAATTTAGTTTCTCTATTTTCAGCTTTTTAGTAATTATAGCTTCAACACATATTTCACATTTATTAATATTATTTGAATCTAAGTCAGATATCAAACCAAGTGATTGCATATTTTTTATATAAGAGAAATTAACATGTCCTAATCTAGCATGCCATAAAGAAATAGATTCAATCATGTAAGCAGAAGTAGATGCTTTTTCATTCACAACATTACAACCATTAAGTACAAAAAGTCCCTGGTTACAATAGCCTTTTCCCACAAACACGTTATTTTTTGTCAGTATGATCTTTTCAGATTCAAATGACACTTTCACTCCAGCTTTATTAAGCAAGGCTACGAAAATCAGGTTTGCACGCATTGTAGGAACATGTAGCACATCCATAAGGGCTAAAGTTTTTTCCGAAGTAAGTTTCAGGAGCACTTTACCCTTACCCAAGACTTTAGTAGTTCTTGAGTCTCCAAGGTAGACTACTTCACTGCCATCCCCTATTGATGTTTAGGAGGAAATGCTTCTCGATTTGCACAGATGTGCCGAGTAGCCCCAGAGTCTTACCACCCATTCTTTTGTATGTGCTACAATGTTTACTTGAGAAATGACATCTGCAATAATTTTATCTCCTTCAGCTAAATTAAGCCTGGGGAGGATAACCCTTTTCTTTGTCATTTTTTATTCTCCTCCTACACTGTGCGACATGATGACCTGGTTTTCCACTAGTAAAACAAGAACCTTTCTTTTGCTTAAAATTGGAATTATAAAGCTTGTAACCATTAGACTTATTACCATACCTTTTGTTATTGCTGCTTCGACCTTGTACTAAGTTTGCCTTGAACGCCAACTCCTTTGCTTTGAATGATTCCTTTCTGTGATGTCTTCAATTAGAATGTGAGTTACTATTTGCTCAATAGTGAAATTTGTCAGTTTGTGCTTTAAGTTATTTTTGTAATCATTTCACAAGTCTCGTAATTTTTCAATCAGCACTCCAACAACAAGTTTTTCTGGTAGAGTGATCCCCTCGGCCTTAAAGTCTTCAAACAATTTTTGATATTCATTAATTTGAATTTTCATCTCCTTTTCATTACTCATCTACCATTGATAAAATCTTCCGACCACAAACTTTTGTTTCGTAGCATCTTCGGCAGTGAACTTCTTAATCAAGGTTTCCCAAATGACTTTTGCTTCTTTGCAGCTATAGTATACATCAAATAGTTCATTACAAATAGTTTGTAATATAGTATGACGACATATCTTATTGTCATATTGCCATGATTTCAAAATTTTGTTATCAACATCTGCACCTGGTTGTGGATGTAATAGTGCATGTGCAACGCCATGAACATTGAGCAATGAAAAAACACGTTCTTGCCACCTTTTGAAATTTTCATTAGCAAAAATTTCAATATTTGACACATCCGGAAATGGTTTGGCATATGGTAGGACAATTGGAACTGGAGAAACGGGGGTAGCACTAACATTGGTAGTGTCAGAAATAGTTTTGGAAGTATTATTATTATTTGCCATAGTTTCTTAGATTGTTGGAAAATTTATATATGGAGAAAATATAATATCAAAATAATAATATGATAATTAAGATAAAAACTACTACAATAATATTCTTATATAATATACATGTATATATAAAAAATACTTGAGTCGTGCTAGGCACTGTCCTAAGAAACTATTTCAACAGTATGAAATGTTTCCCTAGGATTAAACAAGTCTTTCCTAATTAATTAGAGGATACATGAATCAACAAAATATAAATAATACAAAAGAAAGCAAGTCGAAAGAAGATATTAGGAGTTGGCTAAGTACTAATCCTTTTCTAAGTTGTGTTTCTTAAATACTAACCAACCAAGTATTATTTATATATATATATATATATATATATATATTATATAAGAATATTATTGTAATAGTTTTTATCTTAATTATCATATTATTATTTTGATATTATATTTTCTCCATATGTAAATTTTCCAACTTTAAGTCTGTAACTTCTTTGGGACAATAAGTGGAAACTTAGTGTAAATGTATAATATAAGCTTCATTTTGCTCTTTATTGCTTTAGAAATGGTTTCTTTAGCATTTTACTTGTTTTATGTTTTATTATTGGGTTCTTTGTAACAACTTGTTTGGATAGTTGTTACTATTTGTATTGTATTGTTTCGTTAAATTCATCCTTAGGTAACAACTTAAAGTCCCATTTTGTGTTGCGACTGATTTGGTGTCGTTTAGTTTCAAAAACAATAATATAGCCAGTGTGATCTCACAAGTGGAGTCTGGGCAAGCAAGCTTCTTTTGCTTATTTATAAAAGAAAAAAACAAGCTTCTTACTTATGCAACTGTCTTACTCTTTCCTGAATTGGCAGCTGATTGGTTCTGGTTTGCAAAGAAAAAAAATGTTTGACTGATCATATAGTGATTGTAATGTGGGAATGCTCATCATTCTAAAAAAAAGTGATTGTAATGTAGTTTGTTAAATGTGATGCCACATTTTGAACCTTTTTTCACTCACTACATAGGAATGGAAAAGCTGTCATTTGGAGAAATGAAAATCTTAGTTTTGTTGGAACAACTGGTGCTACTTTTTGGTTGCACAAACAGGCTGGTAAGGAGAGTGCCTATATCTTGTCAGGACCAATAGTGCCATGTCTGTGCTGAGGTCAATATCGCCATGTCACAGAGGCAGGTAAGAACAATGTGGTGTAACTTTTATCTTATCTATCTGTATCATATTACTGCAAGCATTTATCTATATCATTCTTGTTTGATTGAAGATGTGGCAAGACATCTATCTAACATTGCTTAGATTTTATTTGCGGACATTAATTTGCATTTCAGACTATCTCCAACCCGCCTCTATTTTACTCTCCATTCTCTATGTTTGGAGAGTAAAATAGAGAATGGGGCCCCCAAGGCCTAGCTCAAGTGGCAAAAGGTGGAGGATTTGTGGCTTAGGTCGCAGGTTCAAGCCCCACACCATGCAAAGCGAAGCCCGGTATTTAAGTGGAGACGGGTAGAGGGGCGGGCCCATTATCCACCGAGTTTAGAAGGCTGTGATTGGTCCAAAGGGCGGGTCACAGACGGATTTCTCGGTTATCAAAAAATAAAATAAAATAGAGAATGGGCTCTCCAACCACACTTTAATTCACTCTCTATTCTCCATTTATTTGGAAAAAAGAAGAAGAAAAGAAATGATATTATGAAATAAGAAAATAAGATTGAAATAGAAATAATATTATAATATTGAGGAGAGAGAAAAAAAATTCTTTTTATAGAGAGTAAAATAGAGAATTGGGTTGGAGTTGGTTGTCTGAAAAAATAGAGAACTTTATATTTAGAGAGTAAAATAGAGGGTAAGGTTGGAGATGCCCTAAGGCGTACAAAGTTCAACTGGAAATGCAAATCAACGGTTGTTTTGATTGATCGTAACTCTTTTTCTTTCTTGGCTAGGTGATAAAGAAGTATATTTTCTAGAAGTGGTAATAATTAATAAAGAATTGTAAACAGCTAAGGAAAAGCATTGAGGTTTTTTCCCAGACAAACAGGCATGTTTAGTTCTAACAGGAGAAAAAACACACCTATCCTACACCGTTATAAAAAACATACCTAGGCCTACATGTAGATGATGACAAGCGTAAACAAAAAAATGGGCTAAGTTACTTGATTGTAGCTTGAATTGCATCTAAAGAAGTCTTTTTTGGAAGCGCTAATGGAGCAAAAAGCCCTCTTCACCTGTGAGAGAACATGTAGTGAGTTTAAGTGAAATAGGTGGTGTGAGAAATATAGGAAAAGAATATTATTGAATTGTTCTCTCTACATTATTACATTGAGACCCTATTTATAGACACTACATTAGACTCCTTTTCCAACTAGGACACTACAATTCTTTTCTAAGTAGGATATATACTATTTCTATTCCTATTACTATTTTAAGTAGGATGGTATATATTTGTCTTGTTCCTATTCCTATTGTAACACTCTCCCTCAAGCTGGTGCATACAAGTCATATGTACCTAGCTTGTTACAAATGCAATTAATACGAGGACCGATGGGGGACTTGAGGAAGATATTTGCAAGTTGATCACTTGACTCACAAATTTTGTAACAGTATCTCCCAACTTTCCAACCAAGCGTGAGAAGAACGTTTCAGACCATAGAGTGACTTGCGCAATCGACATATAAGGCTACTAGACTCACCCTAAGCAACAAAACCAAATTGTTGCTCCATATAGACTTCTTCATCAAGATCATCATGAAGAAAGTATCACTGTAATCCAACCCAAATACCTGAGTCTATCCTTTTGGCAAAAGTGAATCTAAAACAAAGAGAATATTGCTGGAAAACTCAAATTTGTTGGAAACTCAGATCTGTTGGATTTTGCACAACATTGACAAAGTTGAAACTATGTAAATTAGATCTGAAGAGTCACCGAAAAGACGCACGGTGCTACGTAAATTAGATATGAGAAAGTAGTCCCCAAAAAGATGTACGATGCTGCGCAAATTAGATATGAGAAAGTAGTCACCGAAAAGATGGCACGGTGCTACATAAATTATAACCCCCTAAAGTTGGCATCAATTTTTACTTAGACACCTCAACTAGGCGATGTTCATTTTAGACACCTCATGTAGGATTCTGCTGTGTCATTTTGACACTTTCTGTTGACTCATCAAAACATGTGTGTTACACGAATTTTATGCGCGTGAAATGTTTTTTTTTTCTTGGAAAATATTTTTGCTCTCTTCTTCTTCCTCACTCTTCTTTTCCTACAACTTCTCCACCTTCCATCACCCTCCATCACATCCACACAACTTTTTGAAAAAAATCTGCAAAATTTTGTTGGGTTACATCATAATTCAATTTCTTCAATAAAAAAGTCAATTTCTTTAGCAACCTCACCAAAAAAAATGAAGACCATCATCATTTTCTAAGAATTTGTGATACTCTTTTTCTTTTTAAAATCAAATCACATAAATTTTAAGCTCTACTATATTAATGGTGTCTGCTACTACAACTAAATAAAAAACTTCTGCCCCCAAGAATAATGAAAAGTTTTCTTAATTTTCAATTTTCTTACTGCAAATTACCCTAATTTTCTGGGTCATTAACAACGAAAATTGGAGGAACAAGACATTACACTCCTTGAACAACATTTTCCCATAGCATTCATAACTAAATCCCCAATTTATTCCTCCGTCTGCATCTTCATCATATAAATAATATTGTTATTTTTATTTCAAGATGCATTTCGATTTTCAAGAAAGGTGGAATTAAGGAATGTAACACAAGGAATCAAAATTTTGTATAGCACAAGAAGAACACATGAATTTTAATGGGTTTGAAAAAGAACACAAAGAAAGAACTAGAAGGCACGAAGAAGAAGCAGAAAGTGTGGGCGTGGCAATGGGGTTAGATATTCTGAAGAAAAAAAAAGAAAGTAAAAGTGAGCTTTTTTAAAAAAATAAAAAAATTATTTTTCCACGTAGGAGGCGTTTGGATACACACACTTAAGCTAGTTTTGAGAATATAAAAAAAGTGTCAAAATGACACAACTGACCTCCACATGAGGTGTTTAAAATGAACAAAGCTTAGTTAAGGGGTCTAAGTGAAAATTGGTGCCAACTTTAGGGGGGCACCGATGGGTTTGGCCTAAATTAAATATGAAAAAGTAGTCACCGGAAAGATGGCATGGTGCTACACAAATTAAATATGAAAAAATAGTCACCGAAAAGATGGTACAGTGCTACACAAAAGTAAATAGTCTCCGGAATGATGGAACGATACTACAAAAATTAGATATGAGAGAGTAGTCACCGGAAGGATGGCACAGTGCTACATAAATTAAACATGAAAAAATAGTCACCAGAAAGATGACACGGTGCTACACAATTTAAATATAAAAAAATAGTCACCGGAAAGATGACATAGTGCGACACAAATTAGATATAAGAAAGTAGTCACCGGAATGATGACACGGCGCTACACAAATCAGATATGAGAAAGTAGTCGCTGGAAAGATGGCACGATGCTCCACAAACACTGACTGATACGGGGTTGACACAAAACAACCCTAGAAAGTCGTAGGAAGTTAACGCATGACCTTTCTGGCTAAGTTTTCTTCCCCTGAATATGGTGTTCATGCATATATCACTTGCCTTACTTTGGTTAACATAACCAATAACAAGACGGGCAGCATATATGAGTCATAGCCGCCCGCCAGCAGCGGAATCTTTTTTTGATTTTCTACCAAGATCGTAGGAGCTCTGATACCATGTGAGAAACATAGGAAAAGAATATTATTGAATTGTTCTCTCTACATTATTGCATTGAGACCCTATTTATAGACGCTACATTAAGACTCCTTTTCCAACTAGGACTACAATACAATTCTTTTCTAAGTAAGATTCTGTATACTATTTCGATTCCTATTACTATTCTAAGTAGGATGGTACTTTTCAAATTGCCAACCTGCTGTTTTCTTGGTTTGAAGGAACTAATTTAGCTCACATCACATGGTCATAGATCGATCTAAAGAGGCATAAACTTCACTCATGTGATACAAGTTGCTTCATCCGTAGGTAGTGACACCAATTGCAAAAAGTCTTATGCCCGTGATCAAACCTCAATCAATTTTGAGATGTAGAATTTGCTATCTTTTCAATGTTATGGTGGTAGGTGGTAGGTCATCCTAGATTATTTAACTAACTTCTAAATAGCTACCCTATGACACTGTCTAGATAAGGGTAATGAACCCTCAAGCTGCTGCAAGCACACTGATGTGCTTCATTAAAGTTTAGCATTTTTTATATTAACATAAAATGACGCAATTTATTCCTTGTAAAACAGTAACTCGGATTGATGCTCACACCCAACTAACCAAGTACATAAGCTGCTATGCCAGTCTGTGATGCTAGTTTGTGTTAATAATGTCAAACTTTTCTTTGTGTAAGAGTTACTTTTTGATGAGCTAGGCGAAATGAATATTACTGTAGTGATAAAATGGAGAATGGATAAAGGCATGGGAAGAAAAGAGAAAGGAGAGAAAAAAGAAGAATACAGAGGGAGAAGGGAGTGAAATAATGAGAGGGAGAGAGTGAATGAGAGAATGAGAGAAAAGCATAGTAGAGTGGAGAAGAGAGAAAGAAATAAAGGGTAAGAGAAGGCAAAAGAGGAAGAAGTAGAGGAGAGAAAGGCGAGAGGGAGATTGTGATAGCCTCAGTTCAATTTGCGAAGTTATATGTCCTCAAAAGAATTTACGGGTCATATCTACAGAATATGCAGCTTTATAATTTATAACTCGTGAAACAGTAAGTCTCTATGATAGATAAGATACAATCTAAACTAAATAAACAAAATCAAACAGGAAATGCTGGTTATGTTTCTTTTATGGCTACGTCAAATTTATTCATTGGAAAGTAGAAATAAGAGTGCAAAGAAGAGGAGAATTAAGTCTTTAATAAAATACTTAACATAACATCAACATTAGCGGAACAGAGACTTCTAATTTCCTTAATGAGAAGGTCGGGGGGGGGGGGGGGAAAAAGGGAAAAAAA